CCTTAATGCATTCCAGGTTACTCCCAGCAGCATCACTGGTGCCCGCACGGAAGCAAGAGATAATAGTCCAAAGGATAAACAAGCCTAGGTAGCAGCTCCACAACATCCAGACTGGTAGTCATATTGCTCTCTTCATCTCCACATAAGGGAGTCCCCTATAACTATCACACTGCTTTTGCCCTTCATGCAGACACCAGGTCCATGCTCAGGTGGCTCTGATGCCATGTGCTTGGTTTGCACAGATGATCCCTAACTCAACTTCTCTCTGATATCAACACTCTTGCTTTTATTTTGAGTTGCTGTTTGGCACAGGGACTCGGGAGCTGGCCTTACCTGACAGTATACAAAAGAGTCTGTAAAGAGCATCAGTACTTGCAAAAACCAGCATCTGTACTTGGAGAGGTGGTCAGACTATCTCAGTTTTCACTGCCTGTGCTGCTGACATTATGAGGAGGTCCAGACAATGGCCCAGAGCAAAGACACGCTGAAAGCTTTCAAAGGTCTTCAGCCAACCATCTTCAATAGCACAAGTAAATACAGGAAATAACACTGTATTTCACATTGAAAAACACAGGGGCAGTACCAGTAGTAGTTTTGAGTGTTCCTACTCTCTCTCATAGCTTAAATTTACCAATCAGATGAAAATAAGATGACTTAAAAAGTAGCCTGGAAGGGAATCAGACAATCTGATATTTGCTGAGTTCAAAACTCAGTAAGCAGCAGGAGAAAAGAAACTGGAGGAAGCGGGTGTCTGAACAACATCTACTTTCAATAAACTTGCCAAGGAGTATGTGGCAGCACAAGGGCACGTAAGCAGCCACAACAGATGTAGCTTTAGAACAATCAAACAAGCAGTCTCTGCTTACTTGGCAGTAAAAAGTTTTTGAAGGATGCAATCTGAAATAACCCTGAGGGAAAAAAAAAAAAAGAAAAAAAAGCGAACCCAAATTTGAATAACTCTGTACTACAGGTATAGTGCCATAAAACATACAGTACTGTAAAGTTTTAACAAGTCTTTGTTTCAGAAGTTATTCAAACTTGTGTAGAAGGTTCATTAAATATGCAAAACCCCTTCCTGAGGCCTATAAGTATTCCTGAGCTCCCCTGCAATGACTAAGCCTTTCACTATTGTTTTTAGAGTCTGGAAGACAAAAATTAACTCTGGAGCAGCAGAGAGGAAGTGATCCTTCCTTACCAAGACTCAGTATACTTGTGGAAAGGAGTATGAAAGAGGTATTAAACCATGGAGAAAAGCAGAAGCATCTGCTTTTCTCAGAGGAATACCAGTTCTTTGAAGACTGCACACAATCCAGATTACATGTGAATGTAAAAACAAATGCCTTGCAATTCAAGTTTGGAAAAGGTGACTAAGTTTCTCTTAAAGGGACACCAAAGTAAACCTTCAAAACTGTCACTGGTGTGCTAGAATGAACATCAGCAGCCAGTCTCCTACGTCATTGATCAGTATTTCCATGGAATACTGTAAAAACTGTACTGTGACCACTGGCAAAGATAAGCTGTTTCAGTAAATAGAGTCAGTTTCAAATGAAATGCTGTAAATCTATAGGTATGTGGTCTACGCTCACCACCAAGCATTTGAGGCTGCTGACTTATGGCTGCATTTTCCGTTTTAAGATGTCATGAGTTAAACATAGGGCAAACCGTTCATTCTGCCCTGCCTGTAGGTAGCTGGCACTGAAGGTGCATAATGTTAAGCTGAAAACCACATTGGTGGGAAAGTATGATCCAGAAACGCCACCTGCTGTCCCTGGATCACTGTTCCAAAAAGCTGCCGGAGCGAATTCATGCACAAAACTCATTTTGTTTCATTGCAGGAAGAACACTTGCATATGATAAACAACAATCCCTTCCAACATTACTACCCAAAAGAGCCCTCAGACCCTCATGTGAGCTTCCTGCTACAAAAAGCCTTAAGCAAAATTTCCTGCAGAAGTCTCTTGCAGTAAAACCTAGAAAAAAAAATGCAGTGATTCACTTTGAAATGCAAATGCCTCGTTTTTTTCCAGATTTTTCACACACACACACAAAAATCTACTGATTGAATTTCAGAGTGTTTGCTTCTCTTTAATTTCAAGGTTCATCTTTGGTTAAAACTCTATATAAGCAAAGCATGGATACAATAATACAGTGCACATCCTATTCTCTGAGGCTGTCTTCAAGAAATGCTCAGGTAACCCAGCCCTTGACATTTTAGCCACTCTGACCCAGCAAAGCCCATAAGTCTTTGTTTAGCTTTAGATAAGTTTGGTTTCCTGATCTTGGACACTGGGAAACCAGAAGCCAACTGCACATAAATACATTACACTAAGCATATGGCTGAAGACTTTTGCACAACTGTGCTCAGGACCTTGATGTGCCAAAAGGTAAACTTAAAAATACATGTTCAAATCCCATCTTTCCTAATTAACAATCCTCTCTGCAGCTTGTAAGAAACAAATTAGACTTTGTTTGAAATCAGCTGCATAAATATTAGAAGCTGCTCTTTTCTCTGACCTCTTTTCCTAAGGGAGGATGTTACTAGTCTTCTACAACGCTTCCAGAGCATACTTCAATATTCTAATGTTTAATTGTCCAAAGTCTGTATGTGTTTCTTTGAACCTACCTTTTGATTCTTCTGGAGCCCCTGCTTTTTCTTTTCCTACTGAATTATTGTTAGCTTTTGAAAGGCATCCCCCTTCTCTCCCAAGACAAAGAAACGAATATAAACAAATTATTTGCTTAATATTAGCTTCAGTAAATCCATCCCAGGAAATCAAGCAGTCAAGAAAACAAAGAATGGAAAAAATCAACAATATTGACAACTGTAATAGAAGTTATCATTACTTCAGTTGTAGTTGGGATACAGCCTCAGTCAGCAACCTAATCTATTCAGATTAAAACAAACAAACATGCATTTCAGTCCTAGGATGAACCAATTTCTTGCAATTAATATGTTTGAAGGTGTCACATAAGGAAATCAAACAGATTTGACCTTATGCATTTGGTATGTAACAGGCTAAATGGGTCAAACTATCTTTTATTGCTTATGAAAATATAGTTTTAGATCAAACACTTGTCCTGATAGTACCAAGTAAATTGAATAGTAGTTTACCCCTTTAAATTTTTTGAAACTAATCCTTGACACACTGCAAGCAGCCTTTACAAATCCTGTATTAAAATTATTTATGGAGAAAAGATTGGGAGCTACTTACGTGTCCATATTGTCGTGGAAGTATTGAAAGTATTTCCAACTGAAGGAGAAAATTGTTTAAAATCTGTACACCTGAAATGTATGAAATACACTGTATATATACCAAATAATTATCCATGCGCTTAGACTTAACGTATGTAGAACTTTAACCTGTGCAACCACTCATAAAAAGTGTGCACACAATTTCACAAAAATGTGATATAAATTTGAAATTATTCTTCACTTACACTTGGGTGAAATTCCACCCAACTGTGTAACAGTTTTGTGTATTTTATTATTAAGGACATATAGGTGACCAACGAATGAGAGTGCTAGAGCCTCAGGAGAAGACCTGCTGTAGCTACACCTGCTTTGATGGGCAAGGATGCGTTTCTTCACGGATGGGCTGTTTCCTCATAGTGATTCACTGGCTTCAACCAAGTTTCATACAGCATACATGGTATTATGTCACACAAAGAATCCCTTGAGTCCTGACATTTGCTCGAGGTGTGGAGAGACAGAATAGCAAGAATAGAAGCTGAAGGAGAGATGTGGTGGCACAATTTGGTGAGTACCAAGCTGAGCTCCACCTAGTCTTGTGCTCACAGGACTGCTAAGCTTTGTACTAACAGGTTCATCACTCCACATGCAGAAGTAAACCAAAAGTACCATAGTGCCAGCAAAGGTACAGCTTTTTCCAATTCCTTCTATTCTAGATGGTGAATGAGAAAAGATTTTTGGGTATAGAGTACTCATAGTGACAAACAGCTTTTTCTTACTAAAACCAAGCACATTTGGCCTGGACTCATTAAAGCTGGGTCAACATGAAGTTCTTGTATTGTTTTTACACTCACTCACTCTATGTATGAGTGAATTATGCAGATGATATGCAATTCTAGTGTAGAAAAGTGACAGTATTTGCTGTAAGAAACTTGGTAAGACCTTGTTGCAAATATGTAACAAGATCTGTTTATCCTGGGAGGCTTAATATCAGAAAGGGATCCTTGTGGTCCCTTCCAACCCTGACAGATTCTGATCTGTTTTAGCAGAGGACTTTAGAGCCCTAATGGCTCAATGGTTGGACTTGATGATCTTGAAGGTCCCTTCCAGCCTAAAGGATTCTATGATATGGCTACTCACTCTGAGACTGACTTCTGTTCAGGAATCTCCTTCATATGAGAAAACAACCAGCAGGTTACCATGCTACCTCCCATAGCATTTCCATGCTCCCATTCAATAAGAAAACATGTACTAAAATACTGCTTCTGAAGAAAAAAGATACTAAAGGGAACAAAGATGCTTGCTCTCCTCTGATTTTAATGGTTGGACTTGATCTTAAATGTCTCTTCCAGCCAAAGTGGTTCTATGATTCTCTTGAGAGGTACAGAATTTGAATACATAGTTAAATGCACTTCTGTACTCTTTGATAAGACTCTGGACTGCCTCTATCCTTTCCATCAGAACACTGTATCTGAGGAAGACTGAATTTGCTTCTCAGGAATCACAGAAGTTAGGTCAGATATCCATACTATTTTGTTCACTTCCACCAGGACGTTTAGCATAGGAAAATCCTGATGTAAGTGCCTAAGTGCGTAGCTTCAAACCATTCTATCAATCCATTTCTGAACACCCACTGTCACAGCTTGGTTTTGGCATCAAAACAGAAATGTGGAAGCTACACGATATGTATTTAAAATGCAGTTTCACACAAACAACTTAATTGCTCATTGTGGAGCAGGGGGAAGACATTTTATTTGACCTTGGCTTCTAAGAGATGTAAGAACAGTTCGGTTTGCCATGAAACGTTGAACTATTCCAACAGCAGATTTGACTGAAGTGGTTTAGCAGCCTGGTAACCCAACTGCTGCCGATTTAAAAGCTTCAGAAGGGTTTTCTTTGAACTAGGAATCTGGAAAAGCATGTCTTCCAGTGTGCACGTGGTTATCTGTCCCGCAGCTCGTAGTTTCATATGAACACCTCCAAGCCTGGCAGAAAGGCTGGGGTCTTCTTCCATCTTCTCCTTGACTGTGGCCAGCTAAGGAGGAGAAAATGACAGACTGTTGCAGTTGAGCAAGTGAAGATCTCATTCAACCACCATACTGAAGACAAGCAATGACTCAAAATAAAAAAAAGCTACACAATGTAAGTTATGTGGCTAACACAGCGACTCATCAGTTGAACGTTTTACACAGCGTACATTATACACCACCAGCCAAAGCTGGAAATGCACTGGATATCTGTATTAGAGAGCATTTATTAGATTTAAAACTTCCTCAGAGCTGTACAGTCCTAGTACATACTAACAATTATATTCCATTTAAACCCTGGAAACGTAATTGCTTCCTGGAATCTACTTTCCAGATCAGCAAAATTCTAATTATTATGTAGTATCACACTAAATGTACAGTACAAATCAATAAAAGCCAGATCACAGAACACTGAGGAGCTCTGTATGCCATACACTGAGTATGAGCTCAAGTGTAAGTAAAACAGTTATTGATCAGTAACCCTTTGTGGAAGTTAGGACGACTGCTTAGTCTTCATACGCACTGTCACAAATTTGCGAAACAAAATCAAAATACAACATTGACATGTAATATTTATTGCTATGAATTTATGTAATGAAAAGCTGCTTAATTTTTTTTATTTTCAACATGCAGTTAATATACATGGACCATGTTTTGAAAGGTATGCCCCCTTCTACCTAGTATTTGTTATTTTATCTATCAGTTATTAATTTTGTTTAATAGGCAGCAGTGAAAGCCTAAGTATTTAATTACCAACACAATCCATAGATAAGTTTAAAATGAATATGCTAATAAATTTCAGGAGAAACAGCAGAAATGCTTCCAAGCTGCTGAGGGTACATACGTGCATTGAAGGAAGGTTTCTTGGTGATAATACTGTAAAAGCTATTTTTTATAGTAAAATAGCAAAAGCTATTATTTCCCATATCACACTTCCCTGTACCGCATCACAGGTCTTTGCAAATATTAACAATATCACTGTGACCAGGACTTTATTCTCATTTTAATCTCAAATAAAGATAGGAGAGAAAGCAAGGGATTAAATTATTTAATGCCATTAGGGAAAGCTTCATCTATATTCTGATGAAATCTGAGCATCAAAGAGCAAGATCCACAACAAAAAAGGGAAGTGGAAACCTGGGTGCTTTCTCCAACAGCACACAAAGCCAGGCAGCTGCTTTGGCATCAGAACGCATCAGAAGTCAACAGCTTTGGCAGGATGAAGTCGGGCACCTGAAGTTCTGTAGTTGAACCCCTGTTCACCATGGCTCAGCCAAGCCCCATGCACCTCCTCTCATTACTGCATACTTACCACCTGCTCAGAAAACGCTATTTTTTTCACAAAGGGAGGAGTATCTAATTCCACTGCTGCCTCTAATGTCTTTAATACTTCTTCCAGAGAACCAGATCTGAGCTCGACAAGAACCTTAAAAATAAAATAAAACCACACCACAAAAATAGTACTTTGCATCGGAAGGCAAATTTTAAAAAAACAAAGTGTTTGAGGAAGACAGGAAGAACAAAATACATTTCTAGATGCTGCACTGATAAAAATCCACTAAGCATAAATAAAGCAGGGAATGACCAATTTTCACAGAGGTTTGAGGGTTTTTTTTCCCCTAGGACCTGTGAGGGAAGGGCATGCCTGCAGGCAGAGCTCCTCTAATGGAGCTGCACTAAGCTATTCTTGAATAAAGTAGTTTTTTTCACAGCTTGTGTCACTTACAGGGCACATGCAGCAGACCTTCTCTTAGCTTGTAGACCATGCAATTAAAGAAAAATGTCTTGTACATATCTATGTGCTTAAAGGTTCACAGGGCTAAAGGACACCTGAAGCGGGGAGCGCAACCTAAGGCAGACATTGACTTGCAGCTGTGTTTTTAAAAATCTCTTGTAGCAAGAAAGCAAGAAGTCATAGTTTCATAAACTTAATTATTAGGTCATAACTAGAATTTGTTCACGGGTCTATACCCACAGATGTAGAATGGGACTACTTTCCACTCCCAACTATTGTGAGCAGCCTCAGAAACAAACTCAGCAAGGGTACTGATACAGGCCTGGGCTACTAGGAAGCTGGCCTTCTGTTACTTTGTACATGGGGGTTTATTGTTCAGTATAGCATACTTTCCTGCAAGACTCTAATAGAAAGCAAGCACACTTACTTTAAGATTATTGTATAGTTTGTTCTCTGTTTTCATTATCTGGGAACAATAATATCTGGCTTGTGCTACATCATTCTAAGAAGGAATTATAAAAAATTAAAAAAATATGGTTAAATGTGTGACACTTTCACAATACAAGGTCAAGAAAAAACAACGGTTTCTCACACCTTTTCAATGAATCACAAATGAGCATCTGGGACTCCTTCACCAAGACCCATAGACTCAAAGCAGCACTGAGCCTGTGAAAGGAACGCCCCACGCTGGAGTTCCTGTGTCTCCTGGCTCTTTAGCACATCAGACAGTGTTCCCTGCCTCAGAGCAGGATGTAAACAACACTGAAAGCACCTAAAACAAAAAATCTAAGGACATGCTCAGTTTGGCATGTGTCAGAGTACTGAAATGAAGTGCAGCATATGTTAATGTGGGCATTTATCCTGGCCAGCACTTTTAACCTTTTGGATATACACATTTACAGTCCCATATCTGTGCCATCCACTGATTTGTATAGACAGTAAATGTTACACTGACATTTAGTAGACCAACCACTGTTACTTGGGATCAAGAAACATCTTACTTACCGTAAGATGTACTGTCAAAGATCATGCAGCTTAAGAAATAGTTAAGTATGACATGGAGCTTTATTCTGTTTGCAAAACAATAATTTTAACTGATTTTTACATAAAGCAGCAGCATCAAGGATATTTCACGTTGTTTCAGAGACAGAGAACTTCCACATTCACTTCATGTGAGAGTTGTCTGTAATCCCACCCTTTTGGGGACCAGTAAGTTCTAGTACTTGCAGTTATTACACAGATCAGTTAATGCTTCCTCTCTGTTTGCTTCCTTTCACTGACTACCTTACTACAACAAAAAACACAGAGATTCGGGCACAAATCAGAACAAAAGGTACTGCACCTGCTTCAGAGCAGTTACAACAGCAAAGCAGAATGCTCGCAGTGGTAACGTGTCACCTTTCAGCTGTGCTTCTTCAAGCAGCTTCGCAGAGGTTTTGCAAGACTCCAAATTGTCCTGCACAGAAATTTCAAAGCTAAGTCGCACTGGTTATTCGTGTGATCTGAAAAGACTGCAGGCAACTGCAGGCATATTCAGAAGTCAATGTACTGTAACATCATCAAGGCAATCCAGATCTGAATCCAAGCAAGCAGATTCTGAGCAGTACTTCAAGAAATACAACATCAAGATATGATATTCAAAAATACAGAGTTGAGAAGAGGTTAAAATAATGGAAGCTGTTTTTGCCAACTATGCCGTGCCTTAACTGTTTTGGCTTCTACAAGAGATTAATCACCCCTGCCAGTATGCTAAAACCAACAGACACCTTCCACTTTTCAATCATTCCCAAATCAGGAAGAAAGCTGACTTTTTGTCCTTTATTCTAAAAGCTACATTAGATAGTTAATGAAAATCAGTGTTTTCTAAGCACTGAAATATTCAGCACCATTACAATAAAGACATCTGTGTATTTGCAAATTTGAACATTCAGCAACTTTCAGCCTCTGTATGGATTAGATCTCACAAGTAATTTTCAAATTACATGTTCTAATAAGACATCGTAGCCATTTGCTTGTTTTCCAACACAGAAACCTTCCATTATTGCTGGGACTATTTTCAATAGGAGTCTATAGTGAGACAGTGAGTCTACCTGTGTGTTACCTCATAAGCTCTCAAAAACAATGCTCCTCGCACTGGAAATTATGAGTAGAGCTGACTAGACCCCAAACAAAATAATACCTTTCAAACTTGAAAACTGGCAGCAGGAACATTTTGTAATAACTGACACCACCAGTATGGATAAAAGCCTTCACATTCCTTCCTAGTATTTGGTGTAGTTTTTCCTACTGTTCAAATTGTTATTCCCACAAAATACTGCTCATCCATGACTTGAGGGATAGGGTCACCCTTTGGGTGTTTAAGGGACACTTTTCCATGCCACTGATGAATGGTCTGCACAGCTAGTGAAAATATCTTTTAAATCACATGGGAAACCTGTGGTTTAAAACACATTGCTTGAAAATTTAGAAACATTCTAGCCACCAGAATACTGATTATTTTTACATAAATGTTTTGTTTTCAAAAGGCCTATAGCAGTTTCATGAACTAAAAGCAGAAGTATTTGTTACCTGAGAGGACAGAAGCACCTTACAATGACTTAAAAGATCCCGGAAGAGTTTTACAGTTGACCTCTAAAACAATTCTGTACAAAGATTAAACACTAATTCCTTTGTTTATCCACTAGCAATAACCTGAGCTTTAAACCTTGTACGTATTTTAGCACTGGTGTCCAGCATGGTTACTCCAGAGAAACCAAGAATAACCTGGTAAAAATCCAGTACTGGTCTTAATGATACCAGCACCATTATTTCCAGTATTCAAGTAGTGCATCTGGAAGATACTTTCCTTGAAGAATTTTCTGAAAACACTTTTGAGCTTCATGGTTTCTCCTCCTATTGTCAACAGCTTGAATCAACAGATTAAGCTTTTGAAAGAGCTCCACCTAATCCTCTTTAATGCATGAAGGGTTACTACAGCTTACTCCCATATTGATAGTATTTTATCTTAATGAAATAAAATCCCCACAAATTTATTGTGGCTGTCAAAACAACAGGATAACAGATTAGAATAATTTTCCTTCTACCTTTTTTCAATCTGTTAAGAAAGTAACAATGGGCCAGATTCTCTACTGAAAACACAGGTAGAGCTAGAAGCACTACAAATCATAAGTCTCAGGGCCCTGTACCTGTTGCACATGCCATATATCCAAGCCGTCTGACAGCAGGCTGTGGAAAGGACTATGTCACAATTTTTTTGGGAAGAAGCTACAGCAGAGGGAGTAATGGATACCTCAGAGAATCATGGTGGGTTTCCATGAGAGCCTTTACCTAAATAGGCAGATACAGACCCAGAAGCAAATTTGAAGTGGTAAATATGGCCTCGGTGGACGCCAGTGGCTTATACATTTGGGCTGTAGCATAGCGACAGACTCTCTACATTCACGACCTTATGAAAAAGGCGCCTTCTACGCAGAACTGGTAGCACCCCTGAACTGACTACAACCATCAACCTCTACCTGTTTTTAACAGCTGGCAACTTCCACAGCTACTTTGCAGCTACATCTACTGCCCCAATCACCAAACACCAAAGCCACATGGCTATTCTATTTCCCCTGACCGTGAGGCAGTCCTGACTCGTTAGAACTCAGGATTTCAGAAGCACCACTTAAGTTACTGCTGAGCTACCTTTTTAAGCCAACTCCTTCTTATCACATACATGCTCCATTGAACTGTATAGTTAACACAGAAACCTGAGAAAGTTTAGCCTACTGGTATAATTTCTCCTCAACTACTGTTTTTCTTCCTAAAATGGGGAAATTGATATATAGTTTCCCCACTGGGTTTGGTAAGGACTTATGTTAATATTTCAAATTCACAGCTGATTCCAATTTGGAGAGGAAGATCAAAATAAAGAAGTTTGGGGATCTAACTTTGCTACAAAAGGGGAACTGTTCTAAGGAAACACTCATAGAACTTAATGTAGCTGTGTTTCCTAGTGTGTTCATGCTCTTTTTCTTCAAGCTAAAAATTGAGTTCAGCTCAAGGGTCAGCCTGTCTCTTACTGAAGGGATTCATTTAGGTTTCTTCTCTTCATTCAGCTGTCCATTTTCAGCAGGCATGTAGGAACACATTACTTTTGAGAAGTCTAATCCTTGTCAAATTCGTATGCAATTACAGAAATGGTACAAGATTAGTTGGAGGGGGAGGGGAGAAACGGATGGGAGATGTCTGACAGAGCATACCATACAAACATATGCCTTGTCTCTAAAGGAAGGCAGGCTATAAAACTCATTTTGAGGTTTAAGCACAGCATATAGTCTGAAGAGATGCATGGATCAAAGAGAAAGAATAATATCAGCTAATTAAAGGCTGTATCAAACCTGTTTCTTAGTTCTTATGTTGATATGTTATTTTAGAGATTTGCCTTCTTACTTTAGTTTGCATGGGAAGCTATATATCTGTGCACCATATCATGCACAATGAAGCAATTCAGGACTTAGTTATTTCTAAAATATTTGCCCTAGATCAGAAATCATTACTAGAAATAAAAGGAAATTTTAAAATCCAGAAAAAATAAAGATATAGGGAAGGAATTTCACGTACTTTTTCATCATGTAATTAAAAATACTTACCAGTTTGTAGCATATTGCAAATGCAAGTAGATAGGTTTCTTTGTTGAAAGCTATACCTTGTTCTTTCATTTCTACCAGAACATCGAAAGCACCTATCAAAAAGACATATGTTCAATGTGGTATGAGCTCAAGAAGTCTATTCCAAAGCAAGGATGTAAACCAAAATCTGTTATTTTTAAAGAGGTTAATACATTTCAAAAAGTTTAACATAGGGTCAGCTGGATGTAAATATTTCCTCCCAGGAAGATTTTCAATCTACATTAGCATCTGGCCTTACTATCCTATTATTTTCATGCAAATCTAAACAAAAACTTTAGATACTTGACAAAGCCACTCCCATTTTTCTCAAGTGTCCAGAAAACAAGCCTTTTAAACACATAAGCAAAGCTTCTACCATTTTAGGCAAACTATCTAACGGCCACCAATAAAGCACGTACACAAAACACCAAAAACTATACTGGTAGTTTTTTTATCTAAAAAAACCCAAATACATCAAAACACTGCATCCAGGCTCTGATCTAATTATTTTTACAGTGGTTTAGTCTCAACTTTTAGGACGACTGTTTGACTTTGATTGGCCAAATATTAAGAGACCAAGCACTGCACATTGAACAAGTCTGAGATAAAGGGATTTGCTTGAAAAGCTTACTCCATACTTGGTTCAAGATTTTCTCATGGAAAGTCTTTTCAGTCAGGTCAGATGATTCCTCCTTATCCTCACAAAGCAACAAACTGATCTGAAGCATTTGACTTAGATGGTGCAGTAGCCACTCCGTGTGGGCACAACAGGAAGAAAAACCAAAAAAAGATCACGGTCTAGTTTTTGTTACCAAATTAAAAGGGTACTCTTCTGTGCTCTGACACAAATGGGGAACTGCCAAAAAAATTGCTGAAGAACTACTGCTCCAGAAGTCACATAAAGCAAACTTTGAACAGAGAACACAAAAAGCTATAGGAAATTACAAACCAAAAAGAAATTAAGTTTTTAGAGAAGAAGCTCTAGGAAACAAGCCCCACTGGATAGTCACAATTCTATGCAACTGAGAATGGTAAAAATATCATGACAAGTATGAAACAAATAAAGCCTTCTATTTTTATGACACACTACAGCGTTGCTCATTCACATCTACACTGATTTACATGATGTTTGGCATTCTAAAAATTTTTTTACATACACATACAGTGAGAAGCATCCACCTCAAAATGCATTTCCCTTAGCAAACCCAGTACTTACTTTCAAAATGTCCCTTTTTAAACAACATGGTCATCAAAATATGGAATGATGTACTCTCTGAGAAAAATCCACGCAAATTCTGGAGAAGAGACACACAAAACAAAGCAATCACACAGAAAGCTGGGACAGTGAGCAGTCTTACTGTGCGCACCCCTTAACAGGTTTTCCTGCTGGAGGAAGGCCTGTATCTTCACAAGTTTAACATTTCACTCTCTGGGTTCCCTGACTGTTCCTCTATCAATTAACCTCCAAAATACCAGGGAATCAGTATGGTCAAAAGCTCATTATAATGAAATAGAAATTTCCTAGAGATTCCCACTATTTTTTTTTTTTTTTTTTTAATGACAGATTGTGACCTCTAATTTAATGTGAGCATAAGTCTCTGACTAATGGCAACTCCAAAATCTCAGCAGAAATACAGACTGTAGCTGATTAACAATATCTTTGGGGTCAATTATGAAGTACTCCACAAAACTGAAAGAATTTTTTGCTAATCACAGTATAAAATGATGAACAGATCAACACAATGGCTTCGGTGATGACAAGCAGAGTAGCAAAAGAATGAGCAAGTCTGTTTCACGTTTCACTTCAGTCATGCTGTATGTTGGGAATAGCCAAATAAAATCCCAGAAGTATTAAGACTAAATTTGTCCAGGAAAGCCTGAAGAAGTGGTACTGTATCTTACTATCCATCAATTCCTAAGTCCTGTAAGTATTGCAGGATCTGTCTTAACAGCATGAAATAGATCTCAGTAAAACAAAACAAGCCCCACGTACTCTTACACGTACCCAATTTAAGAACAGTAGCCCAAGCAAGACTCCTCCCACTACTACATAGGCATATCTCATGCCTTAACAAATTAACATCTTAGAGATAACTTTCCACTGGCTGCTACTTTTAAAATAAAACCCCTGTAATCTGCATGCTTACATTAACGTCATAGACATCTCTGCTCCTGCAACACATATACTTCAAGCCTATGAGCTTGTGCAAGGCTCATGCACACTAAACCAGTCACTTATATCGGGTTAATAACAACAACAATCTTGAAACTACACAGAGGTATTACCTGATCTTTGATAAGTTCTACTGCAGGTCTTTCAAGGTCCAGCTCATAACATAGCCTCATAAAGAGGGGCCCAAATTTATAATTACAGAAGGCTGTGATTCCATTCTGTTCATGGTACCTACAGGAAAGGTTAAAAAAAATTAATCACACAAGGCATGGAATCTGTCAAGAGAAAGCAGCTTTAAACAGGCAGTGAGTTCTATACATGCAATAACAGAGATGGACTCCTCTCTCTGCACCAGCCAATGACGTTTAGTCAACAAGAGATTAATTTTACGGAAAAAATACTGTTTTGATCAAACCAATAAATTAACTAGTAATATGTAGTCTTTTCTATATCCAACAAAGTAACCTGCATTGGATTAATAATAGAAAGGGACTCTGCCACAAAAATTCCCAGCAACTTTACCTGCTAATCACAGACCAATAGCACAGGTAGTTGCAGGAGTCTATTTTAGCAGCAGTGCCTGCTAAAACACCTCAACTTTTTCTCTCCTAAGCTAAAAAAAATAAACAAAAAGATAAAGGGTTTCACATTTTTTTTCTAGCTCCTACGCTGTCATTGCTGGGAAGGTTTTCACTCACAAAACCTCCTACCTGCCACTGTTGGGTGCAGAACAGTTTATAGGCAGACATGTCCTGGCTGGAAAATGCCACTGAGCACACCACTACCCCTCAGCCAAGAGATGACTTTCCTGTGTGGCTCACCACTCCCTCTGCATGCAGCAGGACACCACTTTGCTCCTGTAGCTTGACTCTCCTTTGACCTGAAAGTCTCTGAGCAGTTGGAATATCCAAGGCAATCAAAACCTGGTCTTAGTTTAAAGAATTATGCATGCATACAGCAACCGAATTCAGGCAAGCCCTCAACTGCCAACATAACCTCAGATGATCTAATAAAAGCAAAAAAATCAAGACAGAAAACAGTGTTACCTGGATTGTTAAAAATACCTGTAAATAACTCTTCTGGCTAGCTCCACATCAGATGAAGTCTGACATAAATGCAGCAAGTTTTTTAATTCACTTTTGAGAATAACTTCATTTTTCTTTAATTTTTCTTTAATACTTTTAAAATACAGATCTGAAAGTAAAACACATTATAGCAGCAGTCTGTAGACAATTCTTTTCCCTGTGCTGCATACTTGGAACCCAAAACACGGAGATTCAATGAAGCAGAAAGCTTGGTTTTCACACAAAAAGAAAATGCATAAAGAAAAATGCATAAAGCTTCTCACAGACAAGCATGCCTAGGTGTCCCCATGAAGTCACATCAAACTTGGAAAAACAAGATGATGCTTATTGTGGCAATTGAATTGTGCATGTTTTGGAATATACCAAGTAATAAAAATTTTAAAAAGAAGGAAGTCTTCTAAGTGACATGTTCTGTTTTAAAAAAGCAAACAAACAAACAAAACCAATCTCATGCAGCATTCAAACAAGCACCAGAAATTTTACTAAACACTGTTTGTACAGGAGGTTTAAATTCCTTCATCATTGATGCAAACACAAAGAGTCTCATACTTAATCTGTGTATTTCTATACATAGCCACAAACTTAAGAGTTGCTTCCTTTCCCCCCTTCTAAAAAAAACCGTTTCTTTGTCAAGCACATTTTCCTATGACAAAACAAGCACAAAGACAAGGCCTTCAGCTGAAACATCTCAAGGCTCTGATCCAGACACACACATGATCAAAATCACGTGTACCACCTGGCAGCCCCATTCCTCTAACGGTGCTGCCACCTGCCTTGAGCAGGGAAGTGAAATTTCTTGTACCAGTTGCTGGGCCACTGCTGTCTCCAAAGTTGAAATCTACACCTGAGGTGCAATGCGAGCACCCCCGAGAACAACAGAATCAGATACTGGATGCATATCTGTTGCTATGTGCCACTGGAAGTCCCTAATCAAGACTGAGATACACAGCTAAATCCTGTGAAGTCAGAAGACTGTGTGTGTATATATGTACATATAAAGTATGCACATATAGAGGTTGTGATGTATTTAGAGGTGTGCAGAAATTAAAACACTTGGGATTTGAAATGTATTTAAAAAGAACACATAATAGTTATAATTACTGCAGGTAATTGTCCAACCACTGTAGTTAATAGTATAACTATTACAGTTAATAGTCACATTATAACAATAAAAAATAACAGCTATTATATATTCTGTGTAACAGAACAGTTATTACTGCTTTTTCCATTTCTAAACCAAGTTTATTACAAGCCCAAGTTATTTATTCTCTTGTTTCAAGTATTAGACTAAACACTGAGTAGACACCATGCACACATAAACACAAACAGGTGCTTAGCACACTGTTTTCATCAGTTCTCAGAGGCTATTTGTACAAAATAAAAAGGTGAAATGTGACCTGTGAAGACAAATATTTGTTTTATACCAACCTGTTTTAGCAGGAGTGAGGGACTCATTGCACATTTAGCAGACCTCAAGCATAGGATTAATAACCCCCAACATGAATACGTCATCATCATAGCAAAATATAATAACATGGTGACTTGCCACTGCCCAATTTAAAGTCTACTTTTACTTAATATAGAAAAACTGCCACAGTCGACTTTACCTCTCTCTCTGTCCAGAAGACTGGCTTATATACATTTGATTATTTGTCTCTTCCTTGCCACACACACAAAGAAATTAAAATTAACTACATCCTTTGGAATAATTGCCAATTTGTATCACTAGAACACCTGCTCATGGCTAAACAGGTGCAGGAAATGGAGTTCTACCTAACCTTTCTGAAATATTAAGGGGAAATTTATGTTTATATCTATGTTCCTTAAAGAAAGGAATTTAAACACACTTTAAACAGCATGACAAAATTCCCATCACAAAAAATGCACCGATCTTGCTCCTTCACTAGTTTGAAAAAAATGAAGTTGTTTTTCATATTCTGAGTATGCATGTGTCATCTGGAATTGGGTGCACAGCTGAGAAATTACATTAGGTAAAAGGGAAAAACTTCTAAAAGAATAAGATTAACCAAATTTACAGAGCAGATTAAAAGAGAACTACTGGCATGTGTCTTCTCTGTATTAGGCTTTGTATTAACTTTCTCTCCCGACGATATATTTAAACCAAGATATGTAGAATGGAACAGTATTTTCCATTAGACTGACAAAGCTTGAAGAGAAAGGACACAAACATTTCAGGTCTTATGCAAACACTTCACATACTTGAAAGCTTCTCCACATTTTCCAACACAGCATAACTAATAGTTTCATTCTACAAAGCCTCAGATCTTCCAGTAATTTTAGCTACAAAATATTTGCAAGAGGAAGACATAAGTTGTTACTTTAACCAGGATCAATTGATGTCATATTACAAGGACTTCAACTGTCTTGCTTCCTAGGGCCCACACTAAAATGGAGAAAGGTGATTATGAAATAAAAAATAATACCTTTATTGCCATGAATTTTATTTCTAACTGCCATTTGCATCTGCTGAAATTCTTGTAACTTTAGATGATCTTCTGTTAGCAGATGCCGCTTCCCTGCCACAAAAAAAAAAAAAAGAGGAAGGTTGAGTTTTACATCATATTGCCTGTTTTAATACTACTGACCTTTGAATTTGTGTGATGCCAGACCACTGGCAACATGACACTAAAAAAGGACTGCAAAAATTGCTCATGTCACTGACTGGGCCTCTCCAGAACTGCTGCAGGAATCCTGATGGTGCCTG